AAATTTTGATTACTAATGCAGCAGCGATTATACTGAGAATGAGCTATTAGTGCTTTAGTGTTATATAATGTTACTGCTTATTCCTCCGGTCATTAGTATTCTGCGCGTGTTTTTTTTTCTTTTCTGTAGACTGTTGGCAGCGTTGATGGAAGCGTCTCGGCGACGTCTGCTCGTCGCGAGTTCACCTTTCGTCGGCATTTTCTACTCGCCATTTAAATTCGTTCATGTGACGCATACGATCGCCTTTATAGATCGTAGCTCAGTCGAAATTGTATGTCGTCGTCGTAGTCGTCGGCGACGACTACAACGACGACGGCAACAACATCGACGACGGTCGACGTCCAAGGCCGTATCGGTATAAACACGCGTGACAGTTTAGACAAGTGAGTAGCAGGTGTGCCGGCGAATATCTCTCAACGGCGAAATCTTTTCCTATCCTTACTTTCGGACTGTTTGAAACGTGGACACGCGAAAAGTCAAAGAGAGAGAGAGAGAGACAGAGAGAGAGAGAGAGAGCACGGCAGAATTCGAAAAGTGTGATATAGCGGCTTGGAAACACGTTTGTTTCCTCGAAACACTCGTGAACTGTTATTCAGAGAGCGAGTGGCCTCTTTGCGGAGAGGCAGCCTCTCGAGAAAACATTCCCCGAGATATCAAAAATAATATACGAAACGTGAAAACAATCTCGAAGTCGTATAAATGAAACAATATACTTGTCTCGACGTCTCAAAAATATCGCAGAGCTTGATAGTGATCGTTATAGATTCGACCGCTGATTTGTCACGGAATACGTATTACTTTCCAAGCGATATTTCTGCCGCGTGTATAAAGGAGTCAGAACTATATCGGGTTGCACTCTTGACAAATATAGAAAGTTCTTTTCGAAATAGCTCCGACTAATTTTACGAAAGATATCGGACGACACCGATAATTCGTAACCCATAACGTGAAATCGCTTATTGTATTTGGACAAAATAATACACTTCACGAGCATATAGGTCGAAGGTCACCAATTAATCCACCTCCAGAAATGCCGCATTAATCTAGGAGAGCGACGCTACATACTTGATGAAGACTGTTACACGCACACGAGACATTTATCTTGAGGATGACATTGCGAAAATTAATGATCTTAGGCACGTCGGCGCAGCCATATTAATGTATGTTTGGATCTCGTCGATTGTTAGCGCAATGCATGATTGCGAGTTACAAATGAATAAAAAAAGACAGCAAGAAGCTAATTCGCAGAAGCAAATCAGCTAACTTGTTTATTAGATCTTTGATCGCAGTTTGAAATCGATTTTGCGTCTGAAAAGTATGAAACACGCGACATATTCTACAGAGGGAAAAATTTTAGTTCGTCTAATGGGAAGCAATGAAAAATCTCGCTGACGAGAAATAATGTCTTCGTTATTGTGACCGAAAACATTTGTCTGAACATTCAATTGCGTTAAAACTCGGTTGAGTGGTGACTGAGAACGATTGGCTTGAGTAGAAACCTCTCAACAGGAATCTTTCTATTCTTACAACCGAGTTTTTCATTTGATTTCCCGATAATAACAAATTCAGTCACACTAACGTGCGCTTTCCTAAAAATATGAACATGAACGACCACGAAATGCTTTCGTTCGTCGCGTGAAAGAATGTGTTCTTAGAAAAGAAAGGGACAAAAGGAAATCAATGATAGATCTCGACCAGGACAACCTTGCAACAAATGTGCTGCCAGGTTAGCGACTAATACATTCCGAGAACGGCTCGGACTTATCGCTTGGTGACTCGCAGGTATTTGTTTCCAAAACACAGGCTAACAAAATATCGTCGCGCGTTGCTTTCCCAACGAATGTGAGACAGCTGTAAGGCAGACACGGAAAATTTGTAAAAATGCTGCTTGCACAGTAAAGATTAATTATTGCCACGTATCGCAATAATTCGGAGAAATCTCGCAATATATTATCCAACAGTATGTGTGTGTATTATAAAAAAAAAAGAATTTAACTCGACTGTGTTGAATAAAAATATTGAAGCATTGGAATCAAAATACCAAAGTGTTGGGAAAAAAATACCCGCGTCATCGATTTCTCGTGACAGACGTGACTCTTTACCAAAATTAGCATCCGCCATTGGTGGATCGTGCTGTTTAAGACTCCTGTGGTGTGATTCTACAACGACAGTGCCGTTATCATTACGTCGTCCTTGTGCAGATATAATGTATGATAGAAAAGCTGCGTAACGATAACAACACTGTCGTTAAAAGTTACAGAATCACATCACTGGAACCGTATTCTTGACGTCTTTCTAATTCTCAAGTTAAACAATCTTATATGGTTATTTTGAGGGGGACGCTGGTATGAGAAAAACGGAACTTGAAATAAAAAGAGCGCGTACTTAGCATCCGAAATATGTCAAGAATTGTACGATTCCTGGTTTTACTGCTGTTACTCTGGCTTGATGACGTCAGAAGCGAGAAAACGTATGCCAAAAATTCTTGTGCATCACTCTTAAATGGAACGATTTTTGGAAGAATATTTTAGATCGATTGAACACACCTGTAAAATACTTCAAAAATTATCATCTTCCCTTCACAGTAAAAATATAATCTTATAAATATTTCTTATATAATATAATAATATAAATAAATATAACTTATTCGTTTAACGCGCTATGTAGTCTTTATAATTTAAAGATTAATACGTGAAACATAAAAATCTTTTCCAAACAGAAATATTCCTTCAAGTAACCTTAAAATTAACATGGCAAAATTATGGGTTAAGAAAGAAGATTGTATGTCGCGTTAATTATAAGGCTACGGATTGACTGACAAGTAAAGTGATAATTTCCGGAACATTTCACAAGTGTGCTGAAGCGACCTGAAGTGTTCTCTCATGCAAAAATCGATTTCATGTAAAAGTGATATGCAAGAATTTCTGGCATACGTTTCCTCGCTTCTGACGTCATCAATATAGGGGTTCCGCGGCAGCGAGACCAAGAGCGTTAGAAAAAAAAAAGAAAAAAGAATCAGTGACGCGACAGATGTCTCAACAGGCTTCCCGTGGAGCCTCGGCTTGCGTAAGGACGATCGATGCTCCGATAATGCGTGCTGTCGCGAATTCTGTGTTCGATACAAATAGTTTTATCGGATTATTGACCTTCGTTATACACACTGGCGGGAGAAGGTGGTGAATCTATTAACGGCAGATAGCTTCGATTGTTCGCGAGGCGTACCTGGCACGAAAGATATATAACCCGCATCGCATCGGGATCAAACGTAGAAACCGTGCGCGACGACCGATGTCGGTGCCTTTATTGACAAATCGTTGAGCTCCTGACTCGCGCAGCAATGAGCAACATTACGGCCGTAAAGCAATACACCTAGCTACGGCATTCGTCATTGATTCGGCCGCGAAATAGTTTGCCTCGCGCAACGCCATGCGCCGCACAATTGCGCGCAATTAACCGCTGACGACGATTTCGAGGCGCGCCGCATGTATAACGATCTCCGTCGTAAAACCGACCGTTCGCAAACACACGCGGTGCGTTACGTAATTGCGCCGCAATCGCGGAATTATCGTGGTCTCTGCTGGTGCAAGCCTCTCTTCTTCTGCCGGAGACGAAAACAAATAGCGAAGCGCGCATCGCTGACTTCGACTTGAAATCAGTCCGCACTCAGTCTGATTAACTTTAATCTGACGTTTCTCAACGTTATCAAGCGTTGTGCGATAAGCACGTTTATCTCTTCCACAAAGAATGCTTTTTTCTGTATGACATCGGGAAAGATATCTACGACACTGAAGAAAGAAAATTGAGTTATGATCGTTCCTAAACGAGTATGATTTCGCGGTCCGACCTCTCAGCTCGAAAACGTTCACTCAAAAAAAAAGTTTTAACTGGCCCAGATGTCCAAATGTCAAAGTTAAAATCTATCACAGCTTTCTGTGTCTACTGGAAAATTATCTATGGTACGTAGAATTAACCATAGCAGCACTCTAGCAACGTCCGCGAGCAAGTTTAGGAGGAGATTGTGAGAATTATACGTTCGTTTGTTTCCCGTCGCTGGTGTGTTTCACTTGGTAGTCAGTTTTGATAAGAAGCATGACTAACTTTAATCCGGTTGGGCGCCACAGAGAGACAAACTTCTCTTGCCAAACTTTACAAACACCTCGGATAGAGAAATTCTGTCCCTGTCATCTGTATTGATCGAACGCGAAGCGTACGCGATACCGCAATATTTACCGTTTATTTATCCGTCTTGGCTAATTTCTCGCGTCTGGACAATTTTTGCTACGACCGCGAGGCAATTTTGCGAGGTGTGCTGGACGAGATTTCCGATTTGGCTGCGAATGGCTCGTGTGTTCGGCCGCGAAAGCGGAGGAACAAAGTTAGGTCACGGATCGATATTACACGGCGGCAGACCCGAGGGACAATTCGCGTAACCCTCGCCTTGTTCAGACAGCACACGGTAAGCTGTTCGGATAGAAACTGCCGGGGACGGCATCGAGAAGTCGCGCGAACATTGCATTGGGTGTTTCAAGAATCGCGCTTCGTGACCTTTCGCGAAGGCGGGTCCTTCTCCGACGATGTTGCGGACGATCTCACCGTCGATTCCGCTTCGGGGGGGAATCCATCCATAAAAATTTCACACGTCCATGTTCCTGTACACCGTGCAAAAGAAACCGCGAAGGGAAAAGCGACGCGGGAGTGTACGTACGTAGGTGCATTCGGCGCGGCTAAAAGTGAAAACGCATAGAGCGTTCTCCGCTTGCGTCACCGCGATTATATTTCTGATATGGCCACGTTGGAACGTCCATAGTTGATGTGATCCACAAACCGCGAATTACGGCGATAAGACGTCGCGCTTTGTGTCGTAGTTAGCGCGTACACGCTGCGTCTCAATCTAATGCCGAGCGAATGACGCGCGTCTGTTTATTGCTCATAACGTTTGCGCAAATTGAAGAGTTTACGAGACAGCGACTACAGTGTTTGGATAACAACATGCTCCGTTCTTACCGAGTCGGGGAAAATTCTGTTGTCGATCGTGTTGAAAATCAAATTGAAATTGCAGTTACCGTGTCATATGGAACTTTGCCAATTATCTCGCTCGATAATTGCGTTACGTTAAACCGCTGGATCTAATGGACTCTGTGTAGCACCGAGACTGATTAAGAGATAATTGCGATTTCTACGCGGGTTCACGCGACGACAGTTGGTAACGGGGCATCGTGGCGAAATAGATTTGATTAAACGCGAGCGAAGCGTGGGAGCATCCTCTGGCCCGGATGCTCGTGAAATTCTACCGTCTGCGCGACCGGTTCCATTAGCGTGAATCAAAGTTTAAGGCCCCTTTCTACTGCAGGCTCGAGGCCGAACGGCTCGGGCGTGCAGCGCTTGAGTAAATTTTCTTTATCCGCCTCTACATCTGGACTTTCGAGCGGGACAACCGTGCATTTCGCACGGTCTACCTTTATAGTATAAATTGCCTCGTGAAAGTTATCTCATCGTGATGTAGAACCGTTTGTTGTCCTATGTAGAAGAAAAATGCTTCTCTCAGAGGGTTCCAAATTGCACGCTCAGATTTAACTGCGATTGTGCGGTTAGGCGACACACGTTGGGGAAGATTTCGGGTCGACTGATCATGCCCGTCCTCCTCATCGCTTGGGAACAAGGGAACAGCTAAGATGTCGTTAATCCAAGCGAGGTGATAATCGCAAGGTAAAACACGACCGATTCTCGTAGGTCACACATATGTGACAACCTTCTCGCAAACTCGCCGGGATACTTAGCAATTAATTTGGCACTGAACTTGAGACTATTTTGGACTCTTAATCGACGAAAACGAGTTCTCAGCCAACTAATACGACCCTCGACGGTTCGAGAACTCGACCCTCGAGAACTTTAACGAGAAAATCCTCGAAAAATAATAGACAGGTCGGACTTTATGCTGATTAAGCAGGTACGCCAGGTCGCAGAAGATGCACGGCTGCGAGGCGCGTTTTACGGCTTTTCAATGATTCGAAAAGCATTGGGCAATCGAGCAAGCCGAAACTCTCGTCGAACATTCGGCGCGGCCGTTGCCGAGGGGCTGCCTTTTACCGCACACCGCAACCCCTTTGTCCTTCCTTTCGGTCGAGCCGTTCTTTCACAATGATCCACTCTCCCCTCTCTCTCGCTCTCTCTGCCCCGACTCTCCCGGCCCGTCGCTCCTTCTCGCTTACGCCTCGTGTCGCTCTAGTTCCTCCTGTTCGCTCCGCTCGTCTCGAGCGGCGAGCTACGGCTAGGTCTGCGTCGGCGCCGACGGCTGGGGGAATCAGCGGTGTTGCCAGTTCGGGCGAACCGGCGGTTGCCACGAGGAGAGAGTCCACGGTAGAGCCGTCCGGATCTCCGACACAGTCGCTTTTTGCTTTTGACGCGCGGCGGGCGACGCGGCCGGTCGCCGTAGCGCGATATGCACGAGCGTGTCATGTGACACGCGTGACAAGTGGTGCGCGCCGCGGCGTTGCTGCACGACGCGACACGGATAGGCGGCTTTCGTTGGAAATATAAGGAGAAAGAAAGAGGAAGAGATAGAGAGAGGGAAAGGAGAGAAAGAAAGAGAGAGAGAGAGAGAGAGAGAGAGAGAGGTAGAGAGAGAAAGCGTGACTGGGAGAGGGAAAGAGGAGGTGAAGGGCGCGCTACGAAAGAAAATAACGCGTGTTGCGTGCGTGTGTGCGTGAGAGAGACCCATCGGTGCCGGCTTCACCGCGGCGAACTGGTATTCCCCCGCGATTTCGTACGGTGCTCCTCGTGCAGTACCGTGGAGCAATTATGTTACCGGTGCGACGCGGCGACGGCACCGACGGACGACACGCCAGTAGCACCATCATCCACCTCGCTACCCTCAACATCAGCCGCAGCGTCACCAGGAGGCCCTGCATGAGACACCGCAGCGGTTACCTCGCGAACGGTTAGAACCTTCTTTCCGACGGGCCACTCCTCGTCGTGTTACCCGTCTCCCGCTTTTGTTCTCTGGAGCGAGATATTCGGGCTTGGCCGCACGGGAAACACGATCGTGGCTCTCGGTAAGTAGGTAGTTGAAGAGAAGAGAGAGGGTGAAGACTGGAAAGAGTTACCTTCCGTTTCTCGCGCTTTGCTTGTCGCGGAGTACTTGTCGGTCGCGAACGGTGAGAGACGTCGCGACGACGTTTCCGAGCACGTGCTCGCACGGTCGGTCGATCAATCGTATCCAAACTACCACCAGTGTGAGAAAAAAAAAGCGTAGAGTTCGAACAGCGAGGCATAGGCCGAGAATCGAAGAAGGGAGAGAAAGTGCGGTCGTAAACTCGAACAGGTTCGGCGTCCGCGAAGAGAAGCCCACCCCGTTCAGGACATGGGAGATCGCTGTCGTTGTATCCGTGCAAATCGTCACATTACAGGTCTTAGGAATGCGGGAGCGGACGGTGGTGGCGAGGTGTTCGCGCTGGTGGTTGGTCTTTCTGGTCACGGTGGTGGTCGTCGCGCGAGTCGCGGGTGCGGACACGCTGCCGTCGTTGTCGTCGTCGACCACATCGTCGCGAGTACAATGTCCGGGTGGATGCGAATGCGCGCAGAACAACGGCGGCGGCGGCGGCGGTGGCAGTCTGGCGTGCGCGGAGCGCAATTTCCTCGGCCTCGGTTTGCCGAAGGATGCTACGAGCGTCTCGCTGAGAAATGTCCGAGCGGCTGCCATTCCGGTAGCAGCGTTGGAGACGTCTGCGAAGCTGCGAAACCTGCTGTGGACGTCGAGCGGCATCGAGAGGATAGAGTCCGGCGTGTTTCGCGTGGCAGTGCACCTCGAGCGGCTCGATCTAGGTGATAACCGACTGACCGAGCTACCGTCGGACGTCTTCCATCCGTTGCACCAACTCCAGTACCTGAACCTCACGGGGAACAGGCTGGTCGCGCTACCGCGGCTCCTGTTTCACGGTTTGGAGCGCCTTCAGGAGATCCGTCTGGCGACGAACCGGCTCTCCGTACTGCCCTATCAGGCGTTCGCCCCCGCCAGGGAGCTCACGCGGCTCGATCTCTGCAGTAACCTGTTGGTCTCCTTACCGGACCATAGTTTTCGGCTGAACGAACAGCTGCAGGAGCTACGACTCGCCGGCAATCGACTGACGAAGCTACCGTCGCGACTGTTCTCCGGCTTGGCGCGACTCAAGGTGCTCGATCTCGCCGCCAACGAGATCGACGCGCTGCCGCGCGGCCTCTTCAACGAGCTTACGGCCTTGGAGCACCTCGACCTCGAGGCCAATCCGATCACACGTCTGTCGGACGTCGCGTTTCAAGGCCTGACCGGTCTACGATGGCTCGGCCTGAGTCACCTGCCGATCGCGTCGCTACCCAAGGACCTGTGGCGACCCGTCAGTAGACTGAGGACCCTGCTGTTATCCGGGACCAAACTGGAGAACCTTCGGAACGAGAATCTAGCGGGCTTGAGCGAGTTGGAGACGTTGGAGATGAAGGACAGCCCTCTGCGTGAGATCGGTCAGCTAACGTTGAACGAGACACCGTCCCTGCGCCGGCTCGACCTGCGGAACAATGACCTGGCCTTTCTGCCGGCGAATGTCGCGCATCTGTCGCTGCTGGACGAACTGCAGCTGCAGGGTAATCCATGGGCATGCGACTGTCGCATGTTCTGGTTCGTCAAGTGGACTGAAAGCAGGACGCATCTACGTGCTGCCTTCCAGAGCGGACTCAAGTGCGGCCACGAAGTCGACGACGCCGAAGTGGACATCTTTCACACCCTGCGCTACCTCAACTGCAGTGGGCCCACCTTAATGAGGGCCACCAGCACCCAGCAATACCTGCTGCTGAGCTCAGTATTGCTCGAGTGCGAATTCAACGGGAACCCTGCACCTTCGTTGACCTGGGTGACGCCAAACGGCCTGGTCTTCCATTGGATACCGGATCCGGGCTTCCCCGACGGCTTCGTCGACCATCCGCCGGTGCACAGCTGGCTGGCGAATCCGCCGCCAATCGATGGCCGCATACAGATCCTGGAGAACGGCTCGTTGTACATCAGAATGCTGCTACGAGAGGACGTGGGTCTGTACAAGTGCACAGCGCACAGCCCGATCGGCAATTGCACCGTCTACGTGACGTTGCACATGGATCCGGTAACCTTGCACAACATCAAGATCCTCAGCATCGTCATTGGTGCGATCAGCGCAGCGGCCTTCCTCCTGCTCACGTTGTTCTTGCAGTTGCTGCGGTACTTCTTCTTAAAGTGAGTATTGGTGAACGCGTAGTGTGCAAACTAAGAATAACGCGTTGTCCAACGAGTCGACGAGTGATGCGGCGGTGTACCTATTGTCGGCCAGTAACAGCCGTTAATAGTTTGTCGAGTGACAGTAACCGACTCGTCGAGTGCGTAAACTTCGAGTAGTGAGCAAACTTGTCGGAAGGTCAGGCGCGATCGATCGATTCCACCTGACGATTCCGCTCCTACACTTTTCTCTCTTTTTCTATCGTTTTCTCCATTTCCACTGCGATCGCTAATGTATTTATGAATTTCTCGCAGGTGCGGATGTATCAAGTGGTGTTTGTGCTGTAGACGCGTGGGAGTGACTCCGAGGGCGAAGCAGATTTACCAAATGCTCGACAACATCGAGCAGTACAAGAGCCAGCAGCTCGAACGACTGAGGGAGAACTACACGCAGCAGGTGCATAGAATCAAGGACAATTGCGTCCAGCAAGTGGAGTGGATTCGCGACAGCTACGAGGGGCAAATGAGGCACATACGGGATATACGGGACTACGGTACCAGTCATTTGACCGCGCTGAGAGACCAGTATTACGATCAGGTAATATGTCGCGCGAGCTTCCGCGCGGAAACGCAATCCTTGCTCGACCGAACTCGAGTCTTTGTTATCGGGAACACACGTCGCGATCATCTCTATGTGATCCTTACTTGCAACGCACCAAGTTGTCGCGCGCGAGATAACAAAGTACAAAGTTTCTTGTCACACGTATAAATCTCACATATATCAGCAACGATTTACATCTCAACGATATCGGTGAGAGAAGGCGATAAAGTCGGATATCTCGTCGCGATAAGAAACATGATAACGACACGAATTACCTCATGAACGTGACAGATACGCATCTAGACGCGTCTATTTTTTTTCACTCCTCCGCAGGTGAAGAGGGTGCGTGACTACTCCACCAGCCAACTGAACTGGGTGCGCGAGAATTACGTCTTCCAACGCAACAAGATCCGTAAGTTCAGCGCCCACCAAGTGTTGCGGTTGCGCGAGAGCTACAAGTACCAGCAGCAGACGCTCAACAAGGTGCTGGAGAACCTGCCGAATCTCTACTTCGACAACTGCCGGAGTGGTTCGTGCGGCAAGAGCGACTCTATGGTCTTCGACCCTACCAAGGACGATCTCAACGGGATGGACACCTACTTCAAGGCGAAGACGCTCGACGACCTGGCGGCGGGTCCGAGTCAGGAGGATGTCAACAGCGAGTACTACACACCGACGGAGCTGTCCTCGACCAGTCCGCACGGTCAGAACACGATGGAGGGTATTCACATCAACTACATCGAAGAGAGCGGCCCGCCGCAACCACCTCCACCGCCCACGATTCTGCCCATGCCGGCGATGTTGCAATGCATCGACGAGTACGGTGGTAGTGCGTTGTCCGTGCGCAAGTACTACGACAACAAGTTGGTCTTCAAAGGCTCCGGCCCGGAGATTCTGGCCAAGGAACCCCGACAGACCCCGGAGGCCATAGGACTTCTAGCACCTAGCAACAGTCTACCTGATCTTCCACGCGAGACCAAACTCTAGCGGAGAAAGCGAGGCAAAGCGTCGAGAACGGCCGGTGAAGAACGGGTTCCTGCTATCGTTTAAGTCTAATCAGAATTAAATAAAGAGAGAGAAAGAGAGAGAGAGAGAGAGAGAGAGAGAGAGACTCGAATAAGACAAGGTGAGCGCGGAACGGAGGGGTCACCGCCTGCCTCTGTGTCCGGTAATTGTGGGAATTGTGTCTTCGAGGAGAAGCAGAGGAGATAAAGGAGATGGTACTATTTGAAGCTTCTTCCGGGTTTGGATGTACGACCGACGTCATAGGAGTGCCCTCACGGGATCGTTCGAGAAAAACTCGTGTCAGTGCCAAGAAACAGGAGATCCATCTGCCAAGATCGATGACTGTCGATCGCAGTGTGTGCATGTGTTAACTTTAGGAGAACAAAAAAAATTGCGGACAGTTTCCAAGGGCTGGACTGGCCGAGCTGTTCGATCAGTTGCCAACCTTGCAACCTGTCCGTCTTGCCGCAACGTGTGTTTCTTCGTCGATGTCATCGTTTTTGGATGATCACTCGAGAAGATTATAAGGAAAAATGGGAAAACAAAGAAGAGAAAGAAAGAACAAAAAAAGAGGAGTAAGAATGACGCGAATTCGCGTCTTTGTCAATTGGGCTGTAAAAAGATCGATTTCCTTTTACGAGCGCGATACGGAGGGAGGGAGGGAGGGGGAGAAAGAGAGAGAGAGAGAGAGAGAATAATTTCGCCTAGCTGTCAATTCCGCTCATTCAATTGACTCTCATTCAAGTTGCGATCTCCGAGTTCCCCCATCGAGGAGTCGTGATTTCTTAATTCTGTAAATAGGCGTGCGCGATGTTTTACGTATCAATGGCTGCGAAAAGGGGAAAACGAAAAGTTTTCCAGGTCGGATCTTCTTTTGCGAAAGACTGACGCGCGGCGGAATCGTCTCGCCCGATCGTTCGTTTTACAGTTGCTTTCTCCTTCTTCGTCTCGATTTTCGTCTTGCGAGTAAGTAAACGCGGTGACGAGTCTCTTCGGCGAGAACGTATACACGGTCGCTGGCGTTCGCTTGCTCGCGTTCCTTTGTTCCTTTTATCGCTTGTGTTTAGCGAGATAGATTGAAAATTGTCCGAGTATATACACAGAAGCGTGTCCTTATTGAAGAGGGAAAGAAAACAAATATAGAAGAAGAGGAAGACATACCGATACCGAGAAGACAGTATAACGAACGTACGTACTTAATTTTCTATCGTTGCACCAACATATCCAATCGTTCGCGTGCAGAAGAAAGAAAGTGACAAAAAATAGAAATAGAGAAATCATATAAATATATATATAAATATATAAATATAAATATATATATATATATATATATATATATATATATATATATATAAATATAAATAAAAATATATATCGGCTGTTGATATTTTCGAGTCGAGAAAGCAACAAAGACATTGTATTGTACATTTTCGAATCGTTCCGATACGTTTTGCAACAATGCGCCCCTTTGTTTCAATAAATCCTGTGACGGTGACGTCGCCAAATACATCTGCACATCTTAATTCCCATCCAAATTCCACTTCGCGCGAAGAGAGAAAGAGAGAGAAAGTTAGAGAGGATACATAGAAAACTTGATCGAGCCGGTTCGGCGATTATCTTCCTTAGACACGTGCGCGCGCTAAGTGGCAGGAATTAAACCTACCAACCGCGCCAATTAGCAACGAGCGAGGTGCACTAACTGTATTCTCGTACAAGTTATCGTTTGCCGACTCGAAAGAATCCAATTAACGCGGACCCTGATCACTCGGCGACGAGCAGTTCGATCCCATCCACGCAACGTCGCTTCGCGTCCGAGTTGCACGAGAATGGGAGGGGTCAAGGGTGAGAAAGCGGACCGAGTCCATAATTCGTCGGAGATGCGGCGGCACTCGTCGCATTTGAACTCATTATTGCGGACTTGGCTCGCTCGCAATCGATCAATTGTCCGTCAGCAAGCAGACAACACTCTCGTGCCGGAGGAGACCGAGCGTGATTCACGGAAAGGGCAAATACCGCATAATACCGATCCATTTGAGCGACGTCAATCGTGCAGAAACGACTGAGTCACCGCGGCACGACAGCGGCGAGAACGGGACGGAAAACGAGGGCGGCCAAAAGAGCGTTGCTGTTATTTTCGGATCGCACCGCAGCAGCGTTATGTAGAGATAAAGTTTTATCGTAGCTCGTGCCGTAAGCGGAGGAGGAGGAGATCGCAACGCGGCGCAACAAGACGAGGGAATTGTAAACCATGGGGGAAACTATGCGGTTGATCGGTCGGTCGATGGGGTCGGCTTTGCAACTGCGTTATGGGAAACGTGAAAAGCACTGTCAGGAAAAACCTACGTGAGTTAAAAGTGAGATCGATAGCAGATCGTCGTCGGATTGTAATCAGACGGACGTGCAGTCAACGTTTTCTCGGCGATAAGTCGCGTTGCGGACATGATTACGAAATCCTCGAACTTGTCGAGAACGATATCTCGCGATCGCAGAGAAGCGATTCCGTGTAGAAGCAAATATATATACACCGGTATACACGCAGATACGTTGCAATTATAATGTAGGCACGTAATGTGTCCCCGCGCGCGATTCTCAGCCGGTGTAAACACATGGAGTTATTAACGTGCAGCGCACAGAGAACCTCTGGCAACGAACACGAAATAAAAGTACGTACACCGCGGTGGAAACACGAGCGAGGTCGAGAGTCGCGAGAGCTAGGTGCACTGAGAAAAAAATACTTAAAAACTTATTTTTGGTATATAAAGATATTATTTCATAAAAACAAACTTTATTTCACACAGATCAACTTTAAAACAAATGACTGAACCAATAAGAAAACACAATTAGTTTTACATTTTTATTAATAAGTTATTAAGAAGTAATTCATGGTATTACTAACGAAACTGATGGTTATATAGAACTTTGGTTTGTCAGCGACCGAGAAATAATAATAAATAAAATAATCGATAAGTATCAATTATAATTTTTATGAGGTATCAGATAATGCCGATTGTACCAGTAATTGAACTGAAAAATGAATCATGTCCTAATTACGAATAATACAGACTCAATGATATCGAATGCTCATAAAATAATATTACAAATTGACACAAAAAAATATCTTTCATTAAAATTTCGAAGATTCAAAAATTTTAGAAACATTGAATACAAATGTATTATTAATGTCCCAATCAGTGGGACATAGTTCAATTATACGTAATAACGTTTATCTTATATCTCACAAGTAAATTTCCAAGTATTTTTTCTCAGTAGGCGTTGCCGAAGAACATCCGAGTTTCGCAGACAGATAGGGGGATCCTGATTTCAAGTGTTTGTAGATTTACTTTGCTCTAACAAAAAATGCCTCATGCGCTTTGCTCCAACAGAAAGCGAATTGCTCGATAAAAAAAAGAAGCTATGTTCAAAAGATGTAAAGAATGATTCTTTCATGTGTTTAATTACGCGACGTTTTTTTCTTTTCTTTTGCAGATATATCTTTGTGCATGTAGAAGCTTTTTTCCAACTATTGATATAACAACAATAGTGGAACGAAATGAAATACCCGCGGCATACAATGCCTTTTTACGATTGTACTGATGCTACCAAACGTTCTACAATTTTTTTCGAAAAATACAAGTTTCGCGATAACGTCTTAAGTCCTTGTGATAAGTCGCCAATTAAATAGAGATGTTCGTCCCGAAGTGATTGTCACATAGACAATTAACGCGTATTAATAGCGCAGTACTCTATGATTTTCATGAAAGCACAAAAGTTCATAATGGCCCTGATTTTCATCCAGCTATCAAGGAAAAACGTTATCTGCGTTTATCAAAAAACACGTGCCCATTATTGATTTGCAGCTTTTCAGGCAAACCCTGTTATGTACCGCCAATCGTAAATGCGAATCGGAATTGGTAGCGCTGTGCAAACAACGCAATCGATCAGCCTCTAATCGTACCTCGCTGGTGTTTCCATCACGGCCATACGTACTCTTATTTCGTGTTTGCGCGTTGTCAGGAGCACCAAATGAGCTCTGTATGCCACGCGTTAATAATTCTATGTTTACACCAGCTAAGAATCACGCACGTGGACGCAGCCCCCGTCTCTTCCGATGATATTCTACGTTATAATTGTAACATATCTGCGCGTATCTTGTACATATCTTGTACACCGGCGCGTATATATATTGGTTTTTTAGGCAAAACTAATCGTACCTCTGTTCTCACAGATCTCGCCGGTGCTCGCGCATGTTGGCGTTCACAACGAGTTATTCTCTCTCCTTTAATTTATACTTTGGGGTAAACTACAAACGCGAATGCATGCTTCGTACTATAAAATTTATGAGCGGTTTTATGAGAGGTTTTAACAGAGTGCTAAAGATAACAGTTGCGCGTTACTCGCTATTAGATTCTGGAATACCGAGGCGAATAAATTTTACGATAGTTGTACACGAATACGAAATAAATTTTACTTCTGCGATAAGAGAAGGTATACCTGTTATTGACGCTGAAGCGGATCTTTGCCATTCTTGATCATCGGCGATCCGCCGGATAACGGTGGTTGAATAATTAAGTGTAAAAGATAGCGCTTCAAGCCACTTAATGAAATAACGCGAAACAATCGATCTTTCGCAGAGAAAGCTAGGATATAGATAAGTTTTTTCCGTATCGTCGTGTAAACCGCCTTCAGGGTTCTAGAGCCAACTTTATCTCTACATACTTTCGTAAGGTCGTCTATCGGATCTTGTGATAAAGCGCTGTAAGTCATCATGTAAACTATTCCCGATTTACAACTACCCCAATCGTTACTATTCCGATACACCCGTGCAATCAAAAGTCGAAAACAACCGAAACTCGGCAAGTATCATTTGGAAGCGTCGCTGTGCCATTCGAGTTCACTAATTTAACACTTGTATTTGTACAAGTCGGCTGATTAAGAATCCATTGTACCAATTTCTTGGTAAGCTAACTAATTCTATATGTTTAGTTAAATCACGTGTCTATCTTTGTCTAATTTGAAGGAGCAACAAAGCAGACTTATGAGTTATCTGTTAGTCAGTTCAACCAAGAGGTTGGAAAAATCGGTTCTAAATGTAGCAACGCTTTTTCTTCATAAGTTTTGCAACGTACTCAATATCCAATAAGAAAACGTATCTTCTGAGAATTATCAGGAAACAAATGTTCATATTGGATACGGAGTACATTACGCAACTCATCGAGAAAAATCATTTGTACCGTTTTGTCATCTTCAATGAGCCAACTGTATTTCGTTAACGAGAGAATAACTACGACATGGAAATATAATCGACGTATGTCGGAAGAGTGTTTAAATTATAAACGTTGAACTAACAGTTGCCACTTTGATATAAGATCTTTGTTCTATTCAGAAGCGCCAATTACGATCTGCTGGCGAAAGCTCTACCACGATCAGCCTTTTGATTATGAAATAATCGGTGTCGCTTTACAAGCGAACCCTCCGTGTGTATCATTTTCATAATTATTATATATGAAAACTGTGTACACGTGATTACATACGCGAAAGTATACGAGGAAATAAAGTTCAACTGGTGCGCCTTTGGCCGCGTGTTTCTACCTTGTTAGTTAAACGGGTATTACCTATCAGGCAACGAGATCTGCGCTCCCAAGAGTGAGCAAAAAAAAAAGAAAGACAGAATGAACAAAACGAGAAACCTGAAACCACTACGCTTAGAGAATAGTTAAAGTACGCTGACACGCGTAACACGGCACATCGAATCTTAGGCGAGAAAGAGCGAGCGAGAAAGTGAGGAGAATCCTTCTCTGTTCCTTCATAAACCGAAAAGCTCGTACTTATGCTTCCAGCATGTATATTTTTTATACGACGTCGTTTTGAACCGCGAAGCCTTAACGAAGGGATTGCGCACACACAAGTATGCGACTTAAATAGTGCGAACACTCGATGACTCGCCAAGACACGAAGAAAAAAGAAAAACAATAAGAAAAAGTTATGATTGCAAAAAGTTACTTCTTCAGGAATAACTTTCGCAGTGTGCGCAACGAATCGCGGACACCTACTGGAAAATATGTTCCATTTACCTATCTTGATATGTAAATGGCTCCGTGAACCTCATTCTCAGCGAAATTAAGTACTATTGTAAGAAATAATTTTGTAGTAAAGATTTATATATGTATATATATTGTAGTACGTGTCTCTTGTTTTTGATGATGTAGCAGTAAAGGGGGAATTTTATTTTTTTGAAGTGCGAGATGTTCTTAAGGCTCTTGGTCCCAACAGTCGTGGAACCTTGAACTGATGATGTCAGAAGCGAGAAAACGCATGCCAAAAATTCTTGCGTGCCATTTTCAAATAAAAACATATTTATACACTGAGAGAAATTACCCGATAAAAAATTAACAAACGGATTTCCGCTCAAATTCCGATCAATTTTTATATCGGATATCAGGATATCCGATTAAATTTTATCGAATATTTCCGATCATAATATCGTATTTCATCAGATAAATAAAAAAATTATAAACCGATATTTCTCATCGGATGTTTCCTGATTGGATACAAAAATTCATCGGTATTTTGATCGAAAATCCGTTTGTAAATTTTTTATCGGATAATTTCTTTCAATGTATGAAAGAATGTTGTCTCTCTCTCTCTCTCTCTCTCTCTCTCTCTCTCTCTCTCTCTCTCTCTCTCTCTC